GATGTTATGGATGTTTATGTGCTCTCTTTCATGCCTGGCTGTGTTTCCTGGACGGGGTCGCCTGTGGAGATGGTTGACAGTTGCCTTTTGTATCTCTAATTTATTTTCTATGTCTTCTTTCTCCTCGAACCCAAATCGGCCTCAGGAGATTGGGTATGGTAGCAGTCGGTAGAAGCAGTCATTAGGTGGTGCTGAAAAGAAAACATTGTAACTTATAGGAAATGCTTCAGTGTTCTCCATAATAATTGCTTTCTAAATAGTGCAGGTAGTAAGGAAGGAGGCCAAAAGAGAAATCAGGAGGCTTCCTATTGACAGTTAATTTAGCATAGGACCTCCCGAAATGTCTGTCTGCGCAAAATCCTTACATAACATATAGGTTTTACCAAAGAATTTCACAAATTTACATAATTTCTTTACTATATGCTGTGTGACATATGCAAATATACTCATCTTCATATGTTTAGAATATATTTTTGAGTAAAACCACTACCACAACAGTTACTATGTCTTATTCTTTATTATACAAAGAAACTAATGTATTGCTTTTTTGCTTTGCCGGTAGTTATTTTAATATTAATGGTGAAAAAAATGTTTGAATTCTAATGACAACTTTTGAGACTGTCACCAAATCGAAAAGATTGTGGCTGAACCCAAATGCAAAGACGGAGACAGAGATTATCTAAGTCTGGCAGATTTATTGCAGCCAAAGTATGGATGAATCCTAAACCAGCACCTAAACACCAACCCTAAGCACAATCCCTCAGAGGGTTCACCACATTAAAGGGCTGGTTATACTCCCGCACCAGTGTGTCGCAATTAGCTTGTCGCAGGTATGACATGGACATTTTTTATTTATGTTTAACATTGAAGCGAAGTGATGTTATTCCACACCACGATGCAACAGGAACCATCAGGAACTTGCTGTGGATCTAAATACGGCCAAGGTGGTGAGGAAGTGGAGGCAAGTTCGTGCGACAACAGAGGGACATGAGGTTGAAAAAGAGGCAGGATCCAAGTGGGGAAAGGGTCCCAGCGTTCTCTCGCTCTTCTAGGTGGTCCATCTTCAGGAGTCGTTTTCAACAAAGGCTGTCATACAAACATAACAAACTGGTAAGGTAATACGCATAGTGTAGAGCGGATGTAGATTTGACCAATCAGATGCCTCCACTGTCTGCGGTCACCTACAGTTTGGGAGTGGTGCAGCAGAGTTAAATAGTGAGTTTGCAACAGTGCAAGCTCGCTTGAATTTGGCAGCAGGTGTAAAGGAGAACAAGTGGCGAAGGAAACACATGCATTCAAATGCAAGTTCTGCTTGTTTGCTGGATCTTCATCACGCAGAAAACGAAAATGACAGATACAAAAAAGAAAAAAATGTCCGTCCGTCCATCCATCCATCCATCCATCCATCCATCCATCCATCTTCTTCCGTTTATCCCGGGTCGGGTCGCTGGGGTAGCAGCTTCAGTAGGAAGGCCCAGACGTCCCTCTCCTCAGCCACTTGGTCCAGCGCCTCCGGGGCAACCCCAAGGCGCTCCCAGGACAGCCGAGAAACATAGTCCCTCCAGCGTGACCCAGGGTCTCCCCCCTGGCCCTCCTCCCGGTGGGACGTGCCTGGAACACCTCACCAAGGAGAAGTCCAGGAGGCATCCTATTCAGATGCTCAACTGGCTCCTCTCGATGTGGAGGAGCAGCGGCTCTACTCTGAGTCCTCCCCGGACGACTGAACTCCTCCCCCTATTTCTAGGGGCCCAGAAACACTACGGAGAAAACTCACTCCAGCTGCTTTTATCTGGGATCTCGTTCTTTCGGTCATGACCCAAAGCTCATGACCATAGATGAGGGTAGGAACGTAGATGAACCGGTAAATCAAGAGATTTGCTTTTTTGCTCAGCTCTCTCTTTACCACAACAGACCGGTACAGTTCACGCTTCACAGCAGACGCCACACCAATCCGCCTATCAATCTCCCGCTCCATCTTCCCCTCATTCGTCATCTATGAAAAAAGTTGTCATTATTACCAAAATGGAAGGTCCTTTTTGAAAGTGTTTCTTTTGACTGCATAGATTTATTTTTTAGAAAATGGCAAATATTTGATGTTATGTTAAGTAGCAACACTATTTTGCCATGGGAACTACTGCTTTCCCTTTTCGTTGGATGGGAAGAGCTGTCCTACGTCCTATGTCACGTACAATCCAGACGCCTTCCACAGTTGCGAGTGTGACTTTAATGCGAGTGACACTTGATAGTGAGGGGGCGGTTTGGGATTCAGCCTATAAGTCTAACATTAAACAGCCAAGGAACACAGGAACCAAAACAGAATGAACGGAATGTGACTGACAGAGACTGATGAAGACCTGAAATAATGACGGAGATCAAGCAAAGACACACTGCAGGAGGGGTACATATACACTGAGGAGGAGACTAACAGTACAAAGATTGGAGTAATGATCTGAGTGGGAATAGGTGTGCAGAGAAAGAACTACAAGAAAACCAATGGAAAGGAAGGTGACACAAGGGGCTAAATGGAGAGTAACTGGGAAACATAACCTAAAGATAAATGTAAACAATGAATGGCAAAATAAAACTAGAACAAATACTAAAGAATGCTAAATGGGAGATAATAAATAAACAGGAATAGTCGCTTTAGATTATACTGATCAACCACTTAAATGCAAATGTAGCAAATTTGGATTGAACCAGTTTAAGCACATGGTTTTAGCAGGCCATTGTGCCAGTCAAAGCTGTCATTTCAGCACAATTAGCCAAACGTGCAAAAACTATGCCAAATATGTTTCCCCCCCTCATTAAAGGGAATCTTGTTAAATAAAAGTGCTAGTGTCCGTTAATGCAGCTGTCCCCAACCTTTTTTGCACCACGGACCACTATATGTCAGACAAACATTTTCACGGACCGGCCGGAGCGGGGGGGGTTCGGGGGGAATACGATCAAGTAAAATGATACAACTGGCATAAAATCAAATACAAACTGCATAAAAATAAAACAACAAGCCACTCCCATCTAGGCGTAATCGGAGAAAATGACAGACGAAGTGTGCTACTGATGTCCAGTCTGCTCCGTAGCTTTGTTTTGGTCGCTGTAACCGCAGAAAATCCCGCTTCACAATGATAGGATGTTATAGATAGGATGAGTCTTAAACTGAATTAACCTGTGTCAAGAGGCACAGATGCACCGACTGATGTAATTGGGAGAGAATACCGCAATTTTTTATATTTTTCAAAATAAAACATCACTCAGACTCTGATTGTCGAAAAATTATATATATATATACTTTTTTTCTGTGCGGCCCGGTACCAAATGACCCACGGACCGGTACCGGTCCGAGGCCCGGTGGTTGGGGACCGCTGCATTAATGGCCTTCTTTTACATATGAGCAACATTTAGTCATGACATCTATGATATATATTATCAACTATTTTTGTAACTCTTCACAAAGAATATTGTGCATATGGTTAATAAAGTGACAATTACTTTAAACTTTACTCACACACAGAAATATAATACCTGACAATGTCTGAAAAAGACATACAAGGTATCCTTGGAAACTCTCTAGTTTCCAAGGATACCTGCCATGAGGGGCAGAGTGGAGCGGTGTCCCTAAAAATAACTTCTGGAAAAGTCAGCCAGTGTTAGAAAGTTTTATAAATCACATCTCCATCGAAGGTCTTTGTCATAAAAAACATAATATCAATAATAATTTTAGCTTTAGAAGCATTAAAGTATCCTGTTTCAAGAAATTGGACCAACTTTAACAGGTGTAGTGGGTAC